GCATCACGCGCCGCGCAAAATAAGATTCATTGTAGTCCCTCGTAAGGATTCAAACATTTAACGTTGGCTACATACTATGACTTTACAGCGGCCGACGTAACAGCCGCTATATATTTACACGCATATTTACGACTGTCCACTCTACTCCGTGCTAGCACGCTTCGAAACACGAGCCAACGTGGCGCACTGTTAGGCAGAGTTTAGCCGCCGCATCCTGAAAGCCCCGCAGCGCTCACCGAAAAACAAATAAATCAATGAAAAAAAATACTTTTTCAGAAATAAAATCAATATATAAGATATCTCTAATTGGCAGCAATTATTTTCAATAGGAAGACATTTCTAAATATATTTTCCACAAACTGTTAGTGTAACAAACTTGCAATTAATTTTTATTAAAGTATTAAGCTTATTGAAAAAATTATATGTCAATAATAATAATTTTATTTCGACGTACTAATGAATTATTTGTAAAAAATGTAAATATATCAAATAAGGATATATTTTGATAGGGACCCGAATTGAAGGGATACGAAACGTATATTTTATTCGTTTTGTTACATTCACACGCGAAAATAAAGAAATTTTCGGTGTATCCGAACAGCTGATGAAAGTTCTGATGGGCTTTTTTACATTTTTTACTGATATATTCTTTCGAGCTTCATTTTATATTTTTGTTGAATTATTTGTATTAATAAATAATCGTTATAATCGTATAAATTTTCAACAATTTATGTATATTTGTTGTTAAATTAACATGTATGTATATTTAAACATGCTTGAAACGTTATATAGTTTTGTTTATTCGAGTAATCGTTTCTCAATATAAGATCCGCGTTTGAAGAACATTTATTCTTGAAAAAGAGAGGAAGAGAAACATAGCTAAAGTCTAGCACAAATTCTATGTAACAAAATAATTTCTATGGTTTGCCACTCCTACTGTAGTATTATAAGATACTTATAAAAGGAAAAGATTCCAGTCAGCTCACCATTTCAGTCGCCATCACAAAAAGCTCGAAACTAGTTTCCACCAAGAGCACAAATCATTCTAGTCCACCGTGACTCTGGTTTTAATGGCCGAGCAGAGAGCAGGACTCGCTCGACAAAATATAAAAGCGTTAAACATTCCACGGTTGGTTTAAAAATTCCATAAAAAAAAATTATTATAGATATGCAGATTAATGGGATAAAATGTTCCTGTGATATAGGACATTTAAAATGCAGTATCGATTTCTACTAATCTTGATTTAATATATTCTCGCTACTTTGCTCTATAATCAAAAAGGTCATCCTTTTACAAAGATGTCAAATTCTTATCTTATTACTGAACAAAGTGTTGAAATACGAGGAAACTGATGATTATAAAAAATTCTTGCATGCGCGCGAGAATGAAGCTCGGAGTCGTTATTCATGGTGAAAATGTCACTTAATTTGAAATTTGCCACGTTTCACGGCTTATTATAATTATGACTAAGGTGCTCAGCCGTAACTACGTCTTGCTTACTCTCCTTACTTATTTTTCTCTCATTGCAAGAAATGTTCACTTATACCATCTTTCTCTATCTCATTTTATATCAGTACTGTTTTTCAAATATTGCAACGCGTACAAAAAAAAATAATGTCGCCGAAAATTAGACATTAAGCTGTTCGATTTTTTTCCCTCTGCTATTTTTTCCCTACCGTCAAAGATATATGAGGTACAATCTACGATTCGAAACGTCCATGAGCGCGAAGCAAAATGATTTCTCAAAGTATCGTGTGAACATAGCCGATTTACGTGCAGCTATCATCCAAGGCGTCTCCATCTTTGACTCATGAATCGGTTCGAATGAGTTTAAGTTGCAACTTGCTGCAGATACTAATCGCTCTTGGAATTTCCAGACGACACAATCGATATCGAAGAGGAAAGGAGAGTAAAGTGGAGACGGATTGGTGGAACGCGTAGGAAGAGAGAATGGCGGTAACTGTCGAATCGAGCCGTGCAGAGAAGGTACTGACGAAGAGAGCAGGCGGAAGACTGCGTGGAAGAAAGAGGGAGGCGGGCAAGGAAAGTCTTAAAAAGCAGCTTGGGAATAAAACTAAAAAAAAAAAAAGGGGCAAGAGCACAGGCGGCAGTAAAACGGCGAGTAAACGGCCGCTGAGGAGATTCCGCGAGCGGATAATTGTGTAAGTGGACCCCTCACGTTGCGTTGCTTCGATATAGGTACGAAGACAGCTCCAACCAGTTTTGATATCCTGCTTGCGATGGATTGGCAACAACGCAAAAAAAAAAAAAAATAAGCAATATTTCCAGGAATAATCTCAATGGCCGTCTTCTTAAAATGCGTAAAAAATGTGTTAAACTGTTCAATATTAATATTTTCGTTCGCTCGAAACAATTTAATTTATTTCTCACAATTACTTCAAAATACTTATTTACTATGTAATTTTTCTTTCTCTCTCTTTCTCTACCAACGACGCGTAACGAAAACGTAGAGCAATTATTTCGAAAAGCAATTAAAAAAAAATTTCCCCCACTCCACATTCAAGTTCTCGAGTTAATCGAGATTGTCAAGACGAATGAATTAGGAATAACAAAAATGTACGAACATTCGTAACGTTAAGAAAACTGTAACCGGTCTGGTCACGAACTCGTGATGAACGAAAACCAATTCATCCATCTCCTGATTAAAGATATAAATCATGCACCGATCGGCAGGAACTCGCTTCTCGATAGCGAACCTCGAAGTACATACCTCGCGTCGGCGCGCATGATTAATAGTCCCACTTGCTCAGCAGGATCAAAGATCTGATGTCGATCCAAGATGGTGAACTACCTAGCAACTCTAATGCTCGTACGCGCGCGCGTTACCCGTATATCGAATATACCGTGCAGCACGCGGCGACGGTAGCATTTATGGGCATCACCGGCGTGAATATTTATGCGGCGACCATTATCGTCTACATAATAGCAGGTATAGCAAATGCGGATAAGCGAACCTCAGACTTGCAATACGACGAGTCTCGAGTCGGCGAGCCGCGTCTTGGAACCAGATGAAACAACGCAGGACCGTAGCAAGGCCAACGGTACACACGCGACGAATTTCGATCACATCTATCATACGTATACGATTGACGTCTAACGCAATTCTAAATGTATTAAATTTTAATTAATTCAACTCACTGATGCAGTAAATACGATTCCACTTACGATAGATTGACAATTCACTAAATATATGATTTCATCTGATTTCATTTGATGACAAATATATATGATTTCAATGTTTAATAATATCGGGATTGAATCGGGCCATCTTTCCAGACGCTCTTGAAACTGCTACGGCGATCCATCCTCTTTTTTTCCGATTGGAATAACGATTACCGAAAGCCTTAAGGAAATAATTTCTGCTACGCGGCTGGAAACGCCCATGACTGTGGCTGGGCATGGAACATCGGGGAGCGCGACGGTTGGTATCTGTCCCGAAGAGATATGAAACGCCTATGCTGTACACCATAGCCATGCTGAGCCTATAGCTAGGCCGGTGCACGGTATAAGGCCAAGATCCTAAATCACATTTGACTCCCGTAATGGGATTGCCGAGAAAGCCTAAACCCCAGAGGAATGAAATCTCTCTGATAGTAAATCTACCTCTTTCATGGAGCTCTCCCGTGCCACCATCTTTTTCCAGACGCCGAAATGCCTCCCACGGTTGCGGCGGCATCCATTTTTGAACACTCATTCCACGCACTCGGAATGTGAAACATGCCACCACATTGGAGATTAGGGTCCGGCAGGCTGCACTAAGACCAGTTCTGACGTGAAAATTAAGCCGCGCAATGCGTCCATAAGTTTATATATATATATATATATATATGCCGGTACGTTCAACAACAATCCTCCTCGTAAATCAGGAACTTTTTTCGCTGGTAATCGTAATTTCTTCGATCATAATCTGATCTTTAAATCGAACATTCATCATATTTGCGAAACATTTGTTAATGTATTATTGACCAAAATCGCGCTATCTTTCAGCTATCTTTGCGATCACATTGAGTTGTGCGAAAGAGCAATCAACATTGTGCAAGTACCACTTGAGATATACGACGAATAACAATTTCGGAGAAAGTGCCAATTTCAAACAACGTATTCTAAAGAAGTTTTATTTACGCGCGCACAAAGTTTCCATTAAATGGAAGAATATCGATATAAACTAATACTTTGATATGTTATCATGTAGATTGCAAAAATTAATTCTTTATCGGTATGAAAAAGTAAAAATAAAAAAATACGCCGAATGGAAAGAAAGGATATTATACATCAGAACACGTTCTCTCGGAAAACGCCATTTAAAGTCCGTTTCATTTTTAACACACGAACTACGCATGTCTTACAAGTTCTATTTAAAAAAAAAAAAAAGAAACTTCCAGTCTTAGAAATACTTTTTTTCCCGGCACCTTGTAAAATCGTAGAAAAACGCGAAGTGAAATCGGGGTGGAATGTAGGCTAGCCGGTCACTATTTCGACGAGCGAATATAAGCAGCGAAGAATCTTGAAAAAATACAACCGAACAATTCGAGAGAGCTGGTAGACTCAACGAAGGGAAATAAACCGGTCGAGAGAGTGCGAATATGTTTCTGTCTTCGACGTCTCTTGAAAATCGTCAAAATCGTTTCGAGAGCAATAAAGACAATTGTTATTGTTCAGAACTGACCAGACCATGTTTTCGCCGATTTAGTTCGTCTACCTTCCGACGTCCTTTTCTACTCCATCATTGCCCCAGTCGCTATCTTCATTTTTCCTTCGTATTTTATTCTTCCTCACAGCCATGCTAGCGTCGTCGCTTCGTGAGAAATTTATTAAAGCCTACGTAATCTATTTTTAGATTCTCGGGGTATAAACGAGAAGGATACGTTTCGTGTGTGCTCGTCACAGAAACAAGACGTGATTATTTTATTCTAAAGATACCGAGATAGAGATACCGATGTAGAAAGCAATTTTTAGATTTTAGTTAAATGCCACTCACCATCGGATTGATTTTGGAAGAAAGAAGTTACGACGGTGCTCCAAACGCGGTAAGGAAGAGGAGATCTACTTCCCGAGCTCGCGCAAGTTCGTGAGGCCTGTGGCGTCTCGTTTCACGTGTTAATAAATAGCCGCGTTATTACCGGCAAGCTAATTCCTCAGTCACTCTCTTCATTTAACGAAGCCAATTATGACAGGCATAAATGTAAGCACTTAATAGTTGTGTACACAAACGCACGCGCGCGAAACGCGGCGCCGTGACTCCGCTGTCGGGTCGGTTCTCTCGCTGATCTAATATCGCAATAAGCGCACAAACATAACTGTAGCACACCATCCTAACATTTGTAAAAGCAATTCTCGCTCGATTACCTGCAAATTTTCCTCCGATATGGGGAACACGCGTAACGAGAGTACGATACATGCTAAAACAGGTATTATCTCTAAGCCGATTAATATTCAATCAACCGTTCAAAGAATTCACCGTCTTGTATATCCCTTTCTCTCCTTTTTAAACGCATTACAGAAATGTTTCAACGTTAAAAAAAAAAAAAAAATTAAAAACGTCGCACTACGCACATCGATCCGTTTTATGTATCATTCATTCGGCGCTCCCAAACGCGACTGAAATGCCGCGAGCGGTTCACAGTTAAGCAAGTGCTCGGCTTAATTGCCGCCATGATACTTTTATTGTGCATTAATTCTGTGATTGTCGTTACGAAATCAATTTGCCACGATACTTGAGGCGCCGTAAAGTTATTTAACGTGTATTATAAAAACAGCGTGCTTATGTGTTTCTCCCACTTCGACATTTTCGTCCCTGCTCTTCGCTTCTACGCGGCCTATATAACTATGTTGTCTCGTAAAGATTTACACATGACAACTCGTTCTGATTTGCCAGCAGGTTTCAATGCATTTTACCGACTTTGAGTAGTGTAATATGGAGATTGATTACAAACAAACATATCAGACGTGTTATCAAAGTAAGAATATCATCTGTACTTGAGCGCCTTAACGGATTTTATTCAATCGTGATAGGTGTGATGAATAAAAATATTTCATGCTGTTCTGCATCTTTAAATTTCAAACTATATGATAAGTTTATAACTATTCGATTTCATGACATTAAAACAAAAAGAATTTAACAAGATTCTTAAGAAGACTTTTAAGAAAACTTCTTCTTATAATTTAACGTAGTACTACTAAACAATATAATACTTGACAGGATGACATTAAGTGTACAATAACTTTCTAAAATTGATAGATTATGTAATGACGCGAAAAAACATGACTAATTCTTGTTTTCCTTCGTAATTCTTTAATCTTTGCACTATTCTTAAAAAAAAAACCTATACGACAAAGCTTAGTGTACTTTTTTGCTTTCATTTGAGATACAAAGAAAGCAAAAAAGTACGCTAAGAATCCCATTTAGTGGAATCAATTAATTTCTTGCTTTAGATATAGACAAAAACAAATCCTTGGTTAATGCAATAAAATAATTACAAAAGATAAATAATAAAAAGCAATAAAATAATTTAGTTGAACCAAACATTTAGTTATTGTAACATCTTACTTGTTTTTGATAAACATTGATATCTGATAGAGATGTTTATCAGAAACAAAGTAAAATGTTACAATAACCAAAAATGCTTTGCTTTAACTAAATTATTTTATTGCATGCATCCAGAATTTGCTTGCTCATATCCAACAACAAGAAATTAATTGATTCAATTAAATGAGTTTCTCAGTGTAGTCAGTAATACTTTTATGTATTTAAATTTTGTATATCTGTAATGAACATCATCCAGATTTTTACTGCATTCTTTACTGTTTTAGATTTTAAATAATTCGAATATCCGAGTACGTGACAATAATCTCTCTGCTTTTCTTAATAAATAAAAAGTTGCATATTAGAATTTTTCTAATTTGACAATACTAGTGTCAGAATGACTTTTTTCTCTCTTTTATTTAGATTTTTTGTTAAGAATATTATTAAATTATCTTAGACTTGCTTTTAATTCTTATTTCTGTCCCAGTAAAGTAATATTTTCTACTAGAAATGATAATATTGTAAGATGATAAGACCAGATATCAAGCTTGAAGCTTGATAAATTATTGCTCCGTTAATAAGTTCTCTAACACTCCGAATTAGAAGTACTTATTATCTATTAATACCTTAAATCTGCCATGTGTTTAGTATATTCATTCAGAAATTTCTGTAGAAGATAACGCGAGCTATAATAACTTTATAATCGTGAAAACAAAACACTTTTAACACATCACTGTTATACTTTTGTCCCCAATTTATTTTGACGAACACTTGCGGATTGTAATGAACCAATACTAAAATCACTAGGTTTTATTTTCTTTGTATTCTACGAAAGAATATATAAATGTAATGTAGTTAGATGTGCTGCTCAAGAGAAACTGATCGCTCGTTTCGGTTACTGGAAGCAGTAGAGTCCTTCGAGATCCGACGGCCGTCGCCAAAGACGACTCGTTCGTTGTTTACTCAACTGATTATCATGGTGTAACGAATAAATACGCGGTGCATCTTTCAAAGTTATGCCGTCGTCTTTCGTAGCCGAAACCTGCGATGCCGTTTTCTCAGAGGACTCGAAATAAAGTGTCAATTCAGAAACTTGTCGCGACGGGAAAAAGTCAGGGTGAAAACACGATATGCACGCGGAACGTTTCCGTTATATACTGATTAGACTCTCAGTTTATATCTCATCAACACATAAACAATGATGTAATGTGCAATTTTCTATGGATTCTTATGTAATTATTTATGTATTGTATTTTATAAGCGGTTTGTCTAAATACGATATATATTATCTAAGCAGTATTATTTAACTAGGCAGATAAAAATTTGCCAATGAATGAATAATAAAATAAACATATTAAAAGTAAAATAAAAATGAATTTGAAAATTATTACAACGGTTAAGTGCTGTTAAATCAATTACATGAAATGTGAAAATGATTAATACAAAATTAGAAATTATAAATGCGTTTAATAATGCATTTAAATATAATATATTAATAAAAACAATAATAGTGCCAACTATCAAACACGATATTTCTGTTTAATTTAATTCACCAAATAATAATTATTATTATTACTACAAAAGCAAATAAGTATTATTATTACTACAAAAAATTGTAAAATAATTAGAATGAGCTTCAACGGTTGTTGCGTAACTAATATAGTAAATAAATAATATATTGATTAGGCAATAAGATATAATTCGCAAACAATTGAAATGTACTTAATAACGAAGTTAACTGCACAACAACTTATCAAAGCAAATTGCAATTACCTCATTAATAAATACATTTCAATTATTTGCAAATTATATTTTATCACTATATATTATTTACACACTACAATCGTAGAAATTCTCATAGGCATTTTACTTTTAATTCTTGGAGCCATAGAACTATTTTTATTTTAAAAAATTATAATTATTTATTTACAGCATATTATATCTAATA